AAATTTTCCAATGAGAGAATTAGATAAATAAAATTGAAATCGCAATATGCCAAAGTTTATTAAAATATGTTTTTAATTTTTTTTTTTTTTTATCTTATTTATTGAAAAATATTACAATCTGCCTCAAGGACATTTATAATAGTGTTCACAGATAACATTCACACTCTATGTACAGTAAATAAAATAAATTATGCAGAAAAATAATATATATACAATAAATAAGAATAAAATAACCTAAAAATAAATGAATAAAAAGAACACATACATACCTATATACAATATTTACAATATGGTGAGAGAACTCCAAACCAGACTTGTCCCTCCAAGTGTGGATGGAAAAGCATGGCTCCAGGAGATCCCAGCGCGTCACTGGGGCTAAACCCAGTGGAGATTGAGCAAGAGTGCTTAAGCCACATACACTCATGTCGTGAGTGGAGAATCTAGCCATTGCCAGAACTCCAATATTTACAAACTATAAAGGTCGAGGGGCCACTGCCGTTTTAACCTCCTTGGAGGATTATATGGATGAGTGGTGATTGATAGAGATTGTGCAAAGGGATTTGGATTATGAGTAAGGTTCTGGTGGAATTTGGAGAATTTTGATGGGATAAGGTCTAGGACAAATGGGATATTAAGGTCATGGTGTAGGGTTTTGTTGGTTACATAGAAAGGAGCATCGACTATTGTTCGAAGGACTTTGGATTGGAAGGATTGGATGCGATTGATGTTAGAAAATTTTGCTGCTCCCCACAGTTCAAGTCCGTAAGTCCAGATAGATTTCAATATTGTCTTGTAGATCAGTAACTTGTTTTCAATGGAACGTTTAGATTTCCTGTTTAGTAGCCGATATAGTTGACCACATCATCGGTTTAGTTCCTGTCTTTTAAGTCTAGTATGAGGGTTCCACGTTAGTCGTCTGTCTGAGAAAGCTAAGGTACCGGACTGTGTCTGAGAAAGGAAGCTGGATGGAATTAAAGTGTATTGGTGGACAGGAACTGCGTCGGAGCGTGAAGGTGATGTGTTGGCATTTGGATTCGTTTACTTTAATACGCCATTTATTACACCAGTGCTCAATCAGGGAGAGGTGTCTTTGGAGGTTTGAGAATGCTATATCAGGATCTGAGTCGGATGATAGAATGGCGGTATCATCAGTAAAAGTTGCCAGGAAGGTATCGGGATGGACAGGGATATCGGCGGTAAAGAGGATGTAAAGGACGGGACCCATTACGCTACCTTGAGGAACACCTGCTTCAATGGGATAGCAATGCGAAAATTCAGTACCACAACGAACTCGGAAGGTACGATCTGAGAGGTAGGAACGGAGAACAAGGTATAAGGACTGAGGAAGATGGGTTTTCAGCTTGGAAAGAAGCCCGGCATGCCATACCCGGTCGAAAGCTTGAGCTATGTCCAGAAATGCGCCCGAGCAATATTGCTTGCTTTCCAATGCTGCGGAAATATGATCAACCAAGCGGAGTCCTTGTTGGACTGTAGAGTGTTGTGAACGAAATCCGAACGGATGGGAAGGAAGATTTTGGGATTCTATAAAGGGTAGGATGTGTTTCAGGAGGATCTTTTCAAAGATTTTTGAGAGAATCGGAAGCAGGCTAATTGGTCTGTAGGACGTTGAGGTGTTTGGAGGTTTGCATGGTTTCGGAAACAGGATAATAGTGGAATGTTTCCACAAAAGAGGAAAGTGTGTGGTTCGTAGGATGCTATTGTATATGTATGTAAGGAATATAACAGCTTTAGGAGGGAGTTGTCTAAGGATCTGAGAGGTAAGGAGGTCGTATCCAGGTGATTTGCGAGTAGGTAGTTTTTTTAAGAGGAATTTGACCTCAGAAGGATTGATTAACTTCTTTAGGCGGTAAAGAGAATGGGATTGGTGAATTAAGGAATTCCTCTACTGCTGACGTATGGGTGGGATTGGATTCTGGATGAGAGGTGAATGTAAGGGAAAGGCGAATTCTTCGGCTCTATCTTCGTCAGACGCTGCCCAAGAGCCATCATCTCGAAGGAGAGGATGTGATATATGATGGGGTTTTAGGATATGTTTAGTGGTCATCCATAAGGAATTGTCATGAGAAGAGAGGGAAGTAAGGTAGGAGTTGAAGGATTGGGATCTGAAGATGGCCAATTCTCTCTTTAATTTTTGCAAAAATAATTATAGGGTTGACAATCGGTGGGATTTCTAGTACGTTGCCATAATAATCTGGCACGGCGTTTGGTATGGATTAGGTCTATGAGGTGTTGAGGTAACTTATTTTTCTTAGGAGTTCTTGAGGAGTGGTTTGGAGAGGAAGCAGTCCAGATTGCTTGTTGGATAGTGGTGGTAAAAAGGTGTACGGTATTGTCAAGGTCATCTGGGGTTTTCAGGGTTATTCTGAGATCAATTTTATCGGAAAAGATTTGGTAGAAGAATTTCCAGTTAACTGGGCCTCTGATGAAGGACGGTGGAATAGGAAGGAAGTCTTAGGAATAGGAGCTAGAAATAATTGGAGTAATAATGGACTATGATCTGAGGATAGTTCGGCAAGAGGAGTAAGAGAATGGTTGAGGGAACCTAAGCCACTGTGGATGAAAAAATCAAGGATATCGGGATTGCGGTTAGGGTCTGTGAGCCAGTAGGTAGGTGAGTTAGGAGGAAGAATACTGAAACGTTTTGAATTGAGTGCAGATAACAATGTTATGCCACGAGAGTTCGTGGTTCTAGAACCCCATTGATGGTGTTTGGCGTTTAAATCTCCACCCAGGATGAAATGATGTCCTAAGGAGTTGAGAAGAGAACTGAACTGGATATTGGATATGGATCTGTTAGGAGGGCAATATGCTGATGCTATGGTGACGGGAAAGGAGAAGGTTTTGATTACGATAGCGGTGGATTGTAGGAAATCTTGTGTCGGCTATGGGAGCTGGTGATGAGAAAGGGAGTGGTGTACAATAACAGCAGTACCGGCGTGTGCTTTACCGTCAGGATGGTCAGTACTACGGTATGTTATGTATTGAGGTATTTTTAAATGCTGTTTTCTGGTCAGTCGTGTTTCCGTAATTATAGCTACGTCGATGTTCTTGTCCAGTAACAAAGCTGTTAGTTCGTCAACGTGATTTCTAAAACCATTCGCATTCCAAATTAGAATGGATATGGGTTTTGGGGTGTGAGTCATTAAGGATTTTTTAAAGGAGGGATGAGGTGAGATACGAGATTTGTGAGGAGTGATATGAGTGGAGTTACTAAGGATGTAAAATCGGTAAGGAATGATGCCAGCAAACTGGTGAGATCTGTTTCATTAGAAGGAGGAGGGATATGATGAATTTTTTGTTGATGTTTAGGTTTATTTGGACCTATAGGATTTTGAGGTTGGGGTTGAGGTTGTTGTTGCAGCAGGGCTTGACAATTATTGGTTGAGCTCTTACCTCTAAGTAGCTGGGAAAATGATACACTATTGTTTACTATTCTAGAAGGTTCTCTCTCTCTTCTTGGTCTTCCTGCTTCATCTTGAATCCGGTTTTTTTGTTCTTTGGATTTGAGATTCTTGTAAATTTGGCATCCTTTGTAGTTGGCCGGGTGTCCCTCCAAGCATAGTGCACACACTGTAGGATCTTGTATAGGTTTGGTGCACTCTACAGATTTGTGCTCTTCACCGCATTTCACGCAACGCGGCAGATGGTGACAATAAGTCTTCCTGTGGCCATACGCCTGACAATTATGGCACTGCACGATTTCTCTCTTGGAGTATGGTTTCTCCACTTTCACCATTGTGTAATATAATTTTGGTATATGGTATATTTTCTCAATACCGGGTGATGGCCCCATTTAGAAATGTTAAATGAAAGAAAACAAAATGTGATTCAGAGGATTCATTCAACTTGCCCTACTTTTATTCTATCTTCCAAACTATTCTAGTTAATATTTTTTTGCAATAATTACTTTACAATGAAAGAGTATTCAAATATTAGCCACATCGGTATGGCCCCATTGTATTATTAAGCCACTGTAGTTAGTAGATGGAGACAGCGATCCCTACTAGAAAAGAAGGAAACACTGATTCTGTTTAATTTAAATAGGTTTCCGAAACAGCTACAGAAGCTGTTTAATTTAAACACATAGAGAAACCTGTTCCATTTAAATAACCTCTTGCAACAGATACGCAAACAGTTTTCTGAAACAGATAGAGAAAGATGTTTAATTTAAACAGCTTCTTCTAACAGATACAGAAACAGTTCTCAGTTCAGTTCTATTTGTTCATTATTTTCACTAATTAATTTGTATGATACCTTTTAAACATGTTATAATTCAGAATTATAATTTTATGTCCCTTTGACTTTTATCAGTAATTATAAATACTTTTTTCTTCGTCCCACTGATGATATATTATTGTAACATTAAGAAGGTATGATTAAATTTAACATTTAAATTGATAATTGTTCTGAAGACACTTCACTTTATAAATATTATGACAATAGGATAGTTAAGAGCTTTTTTTTTTGCTTGTCGAATTTTGAAACAATCATATCTGTTTTTTTAAAACTGTTTTTCGCAGTTTTGCACATCACTAGTTCAGAGCTCTTCTTACTAAGACTATCTCCCTTCTCATTAACTAAAATTTCCAGAAACTCACCTCATCTTGTTTGTTCCAGTAAGAATATTTCAATTTCCTTTGCATTTATTCACGAAGATGTACTTATATTAGTATGAAAACAAGTAAACATGTATAATTAATTAATCTGTTGTTTTTAGTACTGTGCTATGTTACTTTCTGATCAAGTGATCAAAAATAGATTTCGGACTGGTAAACTAACGTTATTTTTTTCTATTTCTATTTATATGCTAAGAAGGAATATAGTAAAATATCCTATAACAATATATTTCGAGGGGATGTAAACACAAATGTGGAAAACGAAAAAGTATATTTTTCAGCAATCAATAAAGTGTTAATAAATATATTTATAAAAAAGGATCTAAAAAAATTTGTTTAATTAAAAATAAATTGTGAACTTACTTTTCTCATCATCTGTAGGATTTTTTTCAGTAACATATTTTCCATTCATTCCTGCAAATTTTCTTGATTGAAACTTCATTTTGTCCAGCAAACTGCTGGTGCATTCTAAAATAAAATTTGTATTAAAAATGAAAATCAACACAATATATCAACAATGTATATATACTCCGTATAATATATATATATATATATATATATATATATATATATATATATATATATATATATATATATATATATATATATATATATAAAGTTAAGGTACGGAGCGGGACAGAATTAGCGTTAATACCAAAAGCATTCATGTAAACAATCTCAGAATGTATATATAGAGAATTAAAAGGAACAATAAACCAGTCTTGATTCCGACTTCATGCGTTTTATTTCGTGAACATTTTCTTTTAATTGTTTCAAGTCCGTTACACTTGCTCAAGGGTTGAGGAGAAGAAAGATGCATTCAAGGAGGAGTGAGTCATCAAGAGAGTCTTCAGAAGAATCCGTGGCCACTGAGACAGAGGAAGAGATAGATGACCCAGCGGGCCGAGAAAACGAGAGGAGCAGAGAAGAGCGAAGAAGCAGCGGAAGAAGTGGACGACGGCAAACCGTGGAGAGGATGTGAGGCGAGTGTCGGGCGAGGGGTGACCGCACGCTAGTAAGTTACAACATCAGAGGTAAAAGCTGCTGGTTACCTATAATAGAGGTGGGAAGAGTGTGATGCCTGGTAGATACAAGGAGTTCCAATATCATCATGACGCGTGGAGAGTTGGAAAAGCTGTACGGTGGAGGGAGGACACCCCAAGTCAAGGTATGTAAATGTAAGCTAATCACCCTGGGTGGCCCATGCGGAGTAGAAGGGGAAGTGGAGATATGATTGAGGAGGTGGGCAGATAAGGGAGGTAAACTTACGGTGCATGTGGTGGGAGAAATGCTTCGGGAATACCAGGCAATTATAGGGTGTGATATGTTGGGGAAGGTGGGCGTGCGAATCGCATATAGAAGGGAGGAGTGGAAAATAAGGATAGGGAGAATGAGGTATACGAGCAAGGCGGCAATAAAGAACGGGGACGGCAGAGCGCGTATACTAGCTATAAGTCGAGCGGAGGATTGGAGAGTAATCGTGAGAAGAGAGTTTGAAGACATTTTCTTTAAGGAGGGAGATACATGGGGGGTGACAGGCAAAACGGTGCATGAGATCCCGCTGAAGCACGAAAAGGTGAGCTATGTAAAGGAGAGGAGATATCCGCAGGCTCTTCGCCAACATATTAGGGAAGAGTTGCAGAGTTTAAAGGAGCAGGGTATAATTGTTCATAGCACGTCGCCATACAAGAGTCCGCTATGGGCAGTTAAGAAGAAAAGCGCGCCCGGAGAGGATAAGGAGAAATACCGCGTAGTAACTGATTACCGCAAACTTAATGCGAATACCGTGGATGAAAAATATCCAATCCCGAAGTTTGAGGAAATTTTAGATAGGTTAAGCGGTTCAGCGGTATTTAGTACTTTTGACTTAAAAGCGGGATATCACCAAATTAGAATGCTCCCGAAGGACCAATCGAAGACAGCGTTCACGTTCGAGAGGGGGCAATATGAATTTACGAGAATACCGTTTGGTGCCGTTTGTGTTTGATACTTATTTTTTTATTTGTTAATATATATAATTTTGTATTAAAAACTCATATAATGTAAAACTAAAAGAGAAAATCATGTAAACAATTGTAATTTCATGTAGTATGCCTTTAAGACATAGAGTATGATGGCGAATAAAATCCTTACGTGGGCTTAACCCACAGGAAAAATAATAAAAAAACAATATATATATATATATATATAAGCCTCAATAATCTGTGGGAAAGTACTTCCTCAATATACTTCTTTTAGGGGTTGCTACCCACCGCCGGTTCCATGCTTCCATTGTATCCTTCTATTAGGCGCTTCCATAATCCTCACCTATAGATTGTCCTCTATAGAGCCTATAGAGCCTTCAATCACTTCTTATAGTATATATATATATATATATATATATATATATATATATATATATATATATATATATATATATATATATATATATATATGTTGATATTTCTTGTCCTAATTATAAATGTTTTTATATTAAAGTTATAAATATATATATATATATATATATATATATATATATATATATATATATATATATATATATATATATATATATATATATATATATTTACCATTTTGTTCAACATCCGTGAATAAATGAGCTGCCTCAATAACAGTTTTTCCTTTCAGGTTGTTCTGAAGCCCATTATCCTCACACTCAAAAATAACTGAAACAAATTAAAAGAGTTCTCAAACATATTGTTAATTTATCTGCTTATAATTAATAAATGATAAACATGCTTTTAATTCTTTATTAAATTTACAAAAATTATATTTTATATACCTATAGTTATCAAGCACTCATTCGTTTTATCCACTGGATTAATTGTACATTGAGATGAATATATATATATATATATATATATATATATATATATATATATATATATATATATATATATATATATATATATATCTATATATATATATATATATATATATATATATATATATATATATATATATATATATATATATATATATATGGCCGCTATTGTTCCGGTTCCCAAAACTTTCCTTAAACTTCCATCTCAAGTTTTGGGAACGTGCCTCCTCGTGGTGCGGCTGGATAACCTAGTCTGAATAAGTGAACTAATACGAAACCCTCTGAGATTAACAATCTCAGTTGTAACTTGGTTGGGTAAAATCGACTCCATACACACTTAAAATACAGAGGCGAACAAGCCTCTCATGAAAAATACTACCCCAGGTGAAATAGTTGGGCATTCGGATTCTGGGGGACCCGACAGTGTGAAGTCTGGAGGAGGTGAATCGGAGCACTGCTGTTTTAAGCAGGAAAGATTCATAAAAAACAAAAAATACTATTTCGGCACCTATAATGTCAACTCATTAAGGCAGACCGGAAAACTAAAACAACTTACATCGGAATTGCGCATACTGGAAATCTCAGTGAAGGCATTGCAGGAGACTAGATTTACGGATACGGAAGCGTTTGAATCGGATTAATTCAAGATTCTGAAAGGAAGACCTGGTGAAAAGGGCAGATTAGGAACCGGTTATCTAATTGAAAAAAAAATCCTCAAAAACATAATGGATTTTAAAAGTGTTAGCAGCCGATTACCTAGTATCACCTTAAAATCCACGAATAAAAAATACACGTTAATCAACTCGCACGACCCTATCAATAACGATAATAACAGACTTCCAGATAAAATGGAAGTCTTTTGGAAAAAATTAGAAGACGAAATTAACAAAATTCCTCCAAACCATGTAAAAATCCTACTAGGTGACTTTAACGCCCAACTCGGGCGGGAAAAGAAATACAAGCGAATCATAGGGGACTATCCGGCACATCAGAGAACCGACCGAACCGGTCTTAGACTGGTCAAACTCTGTAAAAACACGGGACTGAGAATTATGTCTACTTCCTACAAGGCAAAACCCAGAAATAAAAAAACCTGCGTGTCCTCCGGGAATAAAGTAGGGGAAATTCCAGTTGGACCATGAGGCGATATCAAGACAGAACTACTAATGGACGTCTGTAAAAAGAGAAAATACCAACAGAATGGAAAATCGCCCTAATCCACCCTCTTCACAAAAAAGGGGCGAAAACCAAGGTAGACAACTACAGGGGGTCTCTCTTCTGCCAGTTGCCTACAATTTTTTTTCTTTTTCCCTACTAAACAGGATAGAGCCCCAAATAGACCACAGAATAGGAGAAATCCAGAGAGGATTCAGAAATGGGAGATCCTGCCAAGAACAGATACTTAGTCTGAAACTACTCATGAAATATTATCTGAATAGACCGAAGAAAAACCTTTATATCCCTTTCGTGGACTTTGAGAAAGCATATGACTCTACAGACAGAGAAAACTTACTGAAAATCCTGAGGGAATATGGCATCGGTCAAAAGACTATAAACCTAATAAAAGAAACTCAGAATAAAACAGAAACCAAGTCAAAAATAACATTAAGAGGGAATACAAGCAAACTATTTCCGATAAAAACCGATGTGAGACAAGGGGACGGACTGTCACCTATTCTCTTCAACGTTTTTCTCGACAAAGGTATGAGGACCTTATGGGAAAAAGAAACATCAGGAGCTAAAGTAGGAAAGCAAAGGAGCAATATCCTGGTAAAATGTCTAGCCTTTGCGGATGACTTGGCCCTGTTGGCAGAGTCGGAGGAAGAGGCGATTAGGCAGATAAATTCGCTGAACAAATTAGCTGATAAAACTGGACTTAGAATCTCCTTCCAGAAGACTAAATTTATGACCACAAATCCCAACTTTAGGAAGGCAAAAATAAAAACAGAATTCGGTAGAATCAATGTGGTTAACAATTTTAAATACCTGGGCGAAATAATCAGCAGAAACTTACCGGAGAAAGAAAGCAGGGAGTATAGGATTAAAAATTTGGAGAAATTATGTTACTTAACGAGTAGCATTTATAATAAAAATGCGTCTCCAAAAAATCCAAAATCAAGTACTACAATACAGTGGTAAAGCCAGTGATATTGTACGGAACGGAGACAATGTCCTTTCCCAGTTTGGAGAAGATGCTGAAAATAGAAAGAAGGATTCTTAGAAGAATCCATGGACCCAAAATAACACCAGAAGGATACCGACTGAAATCCAATAAGGAGATTTACAGTGAAATCTCTGATTTGAAAACGGAAATGAGGGTAAGAAGACTTAGGTTTTATGGACACATGCAAAGGGATGACCGAAGAGAGGTTAAACAAGAAGATTTTCAGTAGGGTTATGGGATGCAAGTTTAACCATGGATATACGGTACAAATAAAACAGGAAATACTGAGGCTTGGGATAACACGGGAATAATGTGAGGAGAGGACAGAATATGAGAAATTCCTGAAAAGTGAGGTTCATGTGGTGGACAGTAAAGAACTTCCGTCCAGTGGACTGAGGAGAGGAAGAAAAAACTTAGCGATATCCTCAAGCAGAGATGGGCAAAAATGAAGAAATTGAAAAAGAATCCATATAGATATATAGATATGGATAGATTAATGTTACTGAATCATTCATAATCTGAATAAAAAATAAGAAGTAAAAAACAATATTGTGCTCCTATAATGCTTTATTCCTCGAATAGTAAATTATGAAAAATTTGTAAACCATAATGTAAACAAGCTTAGTAGTTAAGGAGTGCCCAGAAGGGAATGGCATGGCACATGCACACTCCAATTTCGGAGAGCACATTTTTACAGAGTTTTGAATTTTCAAACTAGGGAACAAGGGGAAAATATGAAATAGATCACTGCAAGTGTAATTGTGTATACATTACATTTCATATAAAAGTATGCCTTTAAGGTGAATTAAATAAACAGTGAAAAAAGTAGATACATAATTTAAACCTAAGCAATAGCTGACAATTATATGTATCTTAAGTTAATCACCTTCATCATCAACAGAATCAGAGAATTCCTCAAAAATGTCATCATCTTTCCAAGGATGGGTTTCAGATTCTAGAAAAAAATGAAGATTTATATAATAATTGATATTTATAAGGTTTAGAGGGTTCACTGAATTTTTTGGTACAGTATCAAAATTTTGAATTTGTTTATCTGACCAATTTATTTATTTAGAATATTAAGATGTGAATACCTTCCAATTCTTCTTCATCATCAACTATAGTTATCAGGTACTCATTAGTTTTATCCACTGGATTAATTGTACATCGAGATGTATATTCTGAAAAAAAAACAGCATTAACAACAGATATTTAATTCAAATTATAACCTCAACCAACTTTCCATTTAAATTATAAACATTTTTTTATGATATAAACATATATTTATAAATTTATGTATACAGATAACATATAGAGTAATTTTCCTTACTCTAAATATTTTACGGATTTGCCATATGATTTAGCAGCTCAAAATAAAGACTTATTACTTACTTTGGCTTGAATTATTTTCTTTTATCCCCAGGGTGGTAGGAAGAGTTGTAGATAAAGTAATATTGGCTGGTGCCGTAACAGTCTGTGAGATTTTCTCTGTTTTGTCCCTTTGCCTAAATCCTCTTCTTAAAAAAGATTTGAACAATTTTGGTCGATTTGGGTGCTTTAAGTGACCCATTGTGCTGATACCTGAAACAAATTTTACTGAAATTTTGTTGTATTTGTAGATTTTTTGTTTTAATTTAACAGATTAAATAACAATAATAAAATTAATAATAATAAGGCTCAGCAAACATCACTAATGGCATGTTCTAAAGCTAAATTGAACAGGGCAGGCGAAATGGAATCACCTTGTTTTAAACCCAAACGAACCTCAAACCTTTCGGATAAATTATTAACTGTTCTAACTTTATTGAGTGTCTCTGTCAAGCACATTCTGACCAGATTTACTATCTTTTGGGGGGATTCCCTGTTCAATAAAAATATTATACAGTTTCTGGTGGTCAATAGAATCGTAAGCCTTTTCGAAATCGATATGCAGCTGGTGAACAACACCGTTGTACTCTTAATTTTCTCATCTATTTGATCTATTTGAAAATATTTGATCAATAGTCGAATGGTTCCGTCTAAATCCGCATTGGTAGTATCTGATAATTCCCTCGGCATATTTCGTGATTCGACTAGTTAAGATTAAAGTGAATATTTTATAACATACCGGAAGGAGTAAAGTTCCTCGATAGTAATTACAATCTGTCCTCCTATACTTTTCGTGATTAGGAATAAGAATACATTTTTTCTATTCTTCAGGTAATTTCTCATCCTCCCAGATCTTTTTAACCAAAAAATGTATTTTAGAAACTTCGGCTTCCCCTCATGCCTTAATTAGTTCACTAAGAATATTATCGGTTCATCAATCTTTATAAGATTTTAATTTTCCGATATCTACTTCAACTTCGTCTTTATTCGGTTCTTCTATTAACGGTTGAGCTCTCTGGTACTCAGAAGGAGGAGACAGATCACGATTTCGCGTATTTAAAATATAGTTAAAGTGGTTCTTAAACTTATTTAATATTTCTACCGGATCGGTCAGAATATTGTTCTTATCATCCCTAATTTCAGACGTGACCGGTCCTAAACACTTACATAATCTGTCTATACCTTTGTAAATTATTTTCTCTTACGTCTAATTGTCTTTTACGTTATTTTCGATTCTATTACTATTATTTTGTTTTTAAGATACTCCCTTTTTTATTTTTTTGCAATTTTGTCATTTCATTCTTTGAAGTTGGGAAGTATTCGAGATTGACATTGCTAGGATTATTTAGAGCTTTTATTTTAGCGGTTTTTCTTTTTTAGCACATGTTTTAGCAATCTTCATCAAACCACGGTTTGTTATTTTTATTTTCCTTTTTTCCAAGACATAAGTTACCGACTTCTTTAATATTATTCCTGATACCTAGCTATAACTGGTCTATATCATCGCAGTCCTCTTCAGAAGGTTCTAAAAGCTTTAAACCCATTCTTAACTTCAAGTTTTAATTGAGTTCTGATTGATGGAATTTTTATTTTTTCCAAATTCTCTTTTTTTCTCTTTTTTCAAACTCTTTTTTTATATTAAGTTTTTGTCGAAGTTTAGCGATTACTAATTCAAGATATGACCCATATTCTGCCCCATTATAAGAAATAACATTAATTACACTAATAATGAAATTGAATTAACAGATATAAATGTCTTTTTTTCATGGCTAAGATTGTTCGCGAATAAGAATAATTTAATTTTCCTTTTCTGTTTTATTTTAGTACAAAATCATTTGTTACAGCTTTCCTTATCTTTAAATATATATACAGAGTGTTTCATGGTTAAGTGGCCAAACTGAAAATATGAACTTAGGACTTCAGAACAAGAAAAAGAAAATAATTTGAAGATATGTCCGCAAATGCTTTGTTTAGGAGATATTTACACCAAACGATTTTTATTGTTATAAATTATTTACGCCATATTAAGTGAATAAAACTAATTTATTTGTTCTAACTACTTTATTAATTAAATGTAGACATTAACATTCATATTAAATGTTGTTCAAAGTGATTTCCTTGAGCATTAAGACAGGCTTAGTATCTTTCTTCAACAGCAGCAGTGGCAGACCGACACTAGATATGTGTTATTGTTTCACAAGTTTCACAAGGTTAAAGGAATATAAATCCCTTCTTCGTAATGATTATGGCCATTGACCAGTCTTGCAGACTTTTTTTTTAATGTCACCCTAAAAAATACAGTGGTGTCAGGTCTGGAGAGAGTGCAGGTCATGCCACTGGTCCTGCACGGCCAATCCATCTCCTAGACAAAATATTTGCGGACATAACTTCACTTTGAACAACATTTAATATGAACGTTAATGTTTACATTTAATTAATAAAGTAGTTAACAAATTAATAGGTTATATTTATTTCATGTAACGTAAATAATTTATAAAAAGAAAAATCTTTAGGTGTGAATATCTTCTAAACAAAACGTTTGCGGACATACCTTCAGATTAAATTTTTTTCTTGATTTGTGGCCCTTAGTTTATTTTTTCAGTTTGGAAACACCCTGTATATTTATAAATATGAATATACTTACATAGAATAGAAAACTTTATTCTGGGACAAGGTCCCTTAAAAAAAAAAATTATGAACAAAAAATAAAAATCATATCTTGCCAAAAACTACATTAATACAAATTCGAGAAGAAGAAGAAATTCAAAAATATATACAATATTTTCAATAAAAATATATGAGCAACAGAAAGTAAAAACATTTTGAAAAAAAAAAAATTGATGATATGAAAATTTCACTGATAAAATCAGAGAAAATAAAAAACAAAATGTTATAAACACCATGAAATTTTTAAAATTTAAACTTTAACAATTTCAACAACCATTCACTTCATTCATAATTTATTTCATGATTGTACAGCATCATTTTGGGATGTGAGAAGGAATAGGTAGAGATGGTATTTGAATGAGAAAAAGGAATAGGCATGACGGATATCATATGTTAAGGAATTCCAGGATTCAGTGGATCGGGCAGTAAAGGAATATTCAAATGTTTTGGTTCTATGGGAAGATATATAAAGGTAGGGAACACGGCATCTTGTCTCCTGGGAATGGACTACGGGTTTGAACTGTAGGAGACTGTAGACGTAGGAAGGGTAATGTTGGCGGGCGAAAGGGAGGAGCGACTTTAACTCGTCGTAAAGGTGGGACACATGAGACCGCCCAGTACCGAAGACGAATCTTAAGAGGGAGTTATATATATATATATATATAAGGTGTAAAATAAGGTGTATGTATATATATATATATATATACTACCTATAATATATACATACATATGCCTCTACTTTCCGTTTATCAGGCCTGATCCCCTCCTCCGAAATCGATTGTCCCAAAAATGTTATCTCGTCCTGTCCCAGAATCGACTTTTCAACCGACAACTTCAGCCCGAATTGTTTTAATCTGTCGAATACTCGACGCAGATGACCGACGTGTTCACCTTCATCCTATCTGAAGACCAGGAGATCATCCATGTATACCTGACAGAACGCTTCGTCCAGTCCCCTCAAGAATTCGTCCATAAACCTCTGGAAGGTTATGGGAGCGTTCTTTAACACAAATGGCATGCGAGTAAACTCATAATGCCCCCTCTCGAAGGAAAACGCCGTTTTGTGCTGGTCCCTGGGGTTCATACGTATTTGATGATAGCCTGCCTTTAGATCAAGGGTACTAAAAGTTGTGGCCCCGATCAGTCTGTCGATAATATCGTCAAATCGTGGAAGCGGGTACTTCTCGTCCAGGGTGTTCTCGCTGAGCTTTCTGAAGTTGACAACCACTCTGTTCTTCTCTTCTCCCGTTGCGCCCTTCTTCTTCACTGCCCACGATGATGCCTTGACTTTTCAAGTTCTCCAGCTCTTCCTTGATATGTTGGCGTAGAGCTTGTAGATAACGTCTCTCCTTCACGTGCGTCACCTTTTCCTGTTTTAGCGGAATCTCATGCGCCGTCCTCACCGTTGCGCTCAGCACCTCCACGTCTTTAAAAGTAATATCCGCGTACTCCCTCTTAATCCTCTGTACCCAATGTTCCGCCTGTTCTATTGCCCCAATGTTCCCTTTCCCTTCCACTCTCAATTTCTTACACCGGTACCTCTTCCCTCCCATTCGAACAATCCAACGCGTACCCCGGTAGTCTATTCTCGGTCTTACTCTACTTAATAAGTCACATCCTATTATACCCCCGTACTGGAACCCGTATCCACCAAATACTTCTCTCTCCCCACAACACTTATAATTGGCAAACCAACGCACTCGCCTCCAATATTATTTATTACTTCGTGGTTGCCGCTCCTCTGCCCCTCCCTCATTCATCCATTCTTCCACTCCTTCCTGCAGCTGCTCCTCTTTCTCCGCTCCTCCTGCTGATTCTGCCTCCTCGAGCCCCTTTTAGTACCGTCTCCTCTTCTTCGGTTCCAGATGTTCCCGATGAATGGTCTGACTCCGATGTCGATCCTCTCTTCCTCCACAATCTCTGTGCATTTACTTCCATTGGCTCATCTCGCTTCATGTCTCCCCGTCTACTCATATACGGACATTGTCTCGTGATGTGCCCTTCATTTCCGTATTCGAAACATCGAGTTCACGAGCGATTCGCTACTAGGTGACCTATCTTCCCGCACCCATGGCATCTCCTGTCGTCCTTTGTCCATTTTCTTCTTTCTTTGCCTGGCCTTTTCTCTTTCATTGCCGTCCTTTCTCTCTTGCTAAATTCCCCTCTTTTCCTCCACACCTCCGGTCTCACTACTTTGAACCTCCCAGTTTCTGCTCTCCTATATGCCACTCTGGTACACCCATTCTCATTCTCAGTTTCGTCACCCCGAGCTGCTTCTTCATCCCGGGTGCTTGCATCAATCCTATCCTGGGCACATTCCACGAAAATCTTCTCGCTAGGGAACCCATCCTTCTTTCTCGTGTCTCTACCCAGCTGAACTTTAAGTATGGTCGACAGGAACGCCATCGTGTTTCGGCCGCAACCGCTACTTCCCTTGTATTCTCGGTTATATTATTAAACCGTGCCATTAGGTTTGCTGCATACTGTCCATTCGTCTGGTGAGGCTGTTTCTTTTCCAGAAACATCTGCAGGATGTCCTCTTCTGG